GTAGTTTACTAACTGAATGTATTTTGATAAACGGTGCACACCTCCGTCGTCGAGTAAACACCTGTATACCCATATTACCACTTATCAAAAACATTGTTGGGATCACAAGTGAATTCATCAGTCGTTATGTAATAATGCTCTAGCGTTTCTTAACTTTATATCGTGTTTCAGCAAGTTACCACAACCATTCTTTATCAGTGAACTGACGTATGAGGCTTAATGTTCACCCAACACGTGTTAATGATGGGTAATGTTGCAATGTAACTATATATTTTATATAGTTACAATGGAAAAGTTGTCTTTATATATACATATATATACGAATTTAATCAGTAGCTCTAATTAGGTTCTCTATGGAAACGTAGATAATTGAAATTTCAAAAGTACACTTTTAAATTTCTGCAAATAATCGCTGTTAATTAATTCCTACTGAGAAAACAATACACACACACACACACATTAAAATGTACAACAATATAAATTTGACTACAGAGTATCAGTACGTCTAAGAAATTCTTAATTAGTAGAATGAAAAGTTAACGCTACAATCACTGAAATTTTGCAATGAGAACATTTTTGTAATAATTGCTTATCCAACTTATAATAGAAAAATGAAAAGTACGACAGTAAAAACTTTGTAATGAGAGATACCCTAGTTCGGATTAAAAACAACTAACTGTACTAAACATTTCTTAAATATATAGAACTATTATCAAAGTATATGTATACATATATTTGTTTGTTTGCAGTCAAACACAAAGATACCCAATGGGTTATCTGTGCTGTATCAACCATGAATATCGAAACCAGATTTCTAGCGTTATAAGTTCGCAGACATACAGTTGAGCCACTGAGAGACATATATATATAACAAACTTCGCAGACATACAGCTGTGCCACTGGGGGACATAGATATATATATATATAACAAACTTCGCAGACATACAGTTGAGCCACTGAGGGACATATATATATAATATAAAGCTCCAAACCTTCAACAACAGCCTCAACCTGTACGACACTGACATATGAATAGCTCTGGTTGGAAAACGTGAAGCAACAAACACAAGAAAAAAAGTTCATTAGCTACCACTTATACGTGTAGCGTACAAGCATTTTCAACTTGACGTATTATTTTAATGATACTTATATAGTTAATAATACTGTGTCTGTGCATTAGAAATGAATCTCATACGGTGCTGACAGCGCTATCTTCATTTTTTGTGTTTTGTAAGCAGTGTTGTATAACAATTTTTAAATGCAGAGTGACCAATGGGAAGAAAAGAAAGCCAAGATATGTGAGCACGTTTATAAGCTACAGAGCTAATTTAGTGCATTATAATAGTTACAACCGCCAGATCATCCTACACATAAGCAGATATTTATAATACTATACGCGAGATTTGTTTGTTTGTTTGTTTTTGAATTTCGCGCAAAGCTACACGAGGGCTATCTGCGCTAGCCGTCCCTAATTTAGCAGTGTAAGACTAGAGGGAAGGCAGCTAGTCATCACCACCCACCGCCAACTCTTGGGCTACTCTTTTACCAACGAATAGTGGGATTGACCGTCGCATTATAACGCCCCCACGGCTGAAAGGGCGAGCATGTTTGGTGTGACAGGGATTCGAATCCGTGACCCTCAGATTGCGAATCGAGTGCCTTAACCACCTGGCCATGCCGGGCCATACGCGAGATACAAAAGCACCCTATTTTTGTGTTTTGTAAAACCAACCTAAAGACTTAAAAAATAAACAAACTTTTTTGAGTGAAATATGTAGCATTTGTGCTTTGACAAAAAGCATTGGTTTTAAATCAATCAAGTTGACCAGAAGTTCCAAAAAGGGTAAATAAAAAGATAAGAAAAATACTATATTTACATCTATCAATATATACATATATGATTGCAAAATTAAAACAAATATTTAGCTTTTATTTGAATTTTTGTAAAAATTCCCTCATATTTTATAATGAACTCGGCTCATTTAAATACTGTGTAATTTTAAAGATTCTGTTAAAAAGGTGCATACAGGAGCTATACGTTTTTTTGTGTGTGTGATGATTGATTGTTTTGGAGTGTGTGCTTCTTGTTGTCACTATTACGACTTCATTTGGAAGGTAACATGGATTGGGTGTGATTTCACTGGCACACATTAGATTAATGCGAAGAAATGATAACTAATTAGAAATTTATGAGTAACTAAATTCTCTCTTAGCCATTTTTATAGTTTTATTTACATGATAGCTTTCGAAGAAACAAATTTTAAAATCTTGCCAAAAAAAAAAAAGGTACAACTTACTTTTTCAATCGTGCTGATAAATACAAAGCAAAGCAAGCGTACATATTCGGGCTGTAACAGTTATTAACTATTTCGACAAAGAATTCTCCACAAAGGCGCTACATAACTTATGTCAAGTCTTTGAAATCAGTTTAACATAACCCAAAACATGTTTATATTTTTATAATCATACCTTGGTTCTTTATTCTAGTGAACTGTTGATTCCCCCCCCCCCTAATTTAACATGAACAAGTTTTGTGAATAAAATGTTCAAACTGCAACATCTAGTGTGACTGTATAACATTTTTCTAACGATCGATCCTTTTAGCTTGATTAATGTCTAGCATGCTGACTTCAAGACATTTCCATCTGTTGCAGACTAAGAATATATATAAAAGATAAGAACGAAGGTATATATATATATATGTATAGGATGTTTTTAATACTTATCGATATCAGCCAGAAATGATAGTTATATATAATGCAATGGAAGCTAAAAAAACTGACTTTAGATTTGAGTTGCCAAAACAAAATATGTGCATCGAACCTAAACAGATGTTTGAACAAATAAAATCCAAATTAATCTGGTTATTTGGAGAACGAACTTGTGTAAAAAGGTTCTAGGATAACATCGTCCGATTTTTCAGTCGTGAAACAATTGAAGAAAAACTTTGTGTTGGATATTTCCTCTGAGACTGACGGATAGACCACTTCTCTGGATTCGAGCCTGTGGTAGGATTAATGTTCCCACTAAGAAGTTCGTGAAGTATAAGGAAGATGGGG